CTGGAAGTGTTCAAGGCCAGGTTGGATGAGGCTTTGAGCAATATGGTCTAGGGGAAGATATCTGTGAAGATGTCCCTGCCCATGACAGGGAGATGGGAACCAGATGATCTTTGACATCCCTTCCAATCCAAACCATTCTATGATTCTATGATGACTCTGAATCCCCTCCATTTACCTTCTAGAAAGGTAAAATGCTTCTTGCCATTAAAAATATATACTCTATGTATGAGATGGTTGTGTAGGTTTACCAAGCTCTTTACTCCCAAAAGTTTCACAGAGCAAATGTTCCTAGATGCTGCCGCATACAGACACACACAAAAAGAGGAGGTCTTCATGTTCCAAGAACCGCTGCATTAACATATTCATCTTCTGGCCACGAAAAATAACAGACCAATGCTGAAACTGCTTCTGCTACTTGATACATGTAATTTCTTATAGGTAAAGGAAATCTTTAAGAATGACATATAGATGTGACAAGAGCCATGTCCAAGATCCATGGCAACACATGGCCAGAGTTTTCTTTGAAGTTATTGAAGAAGAGCCCTCAATTATATGTTGAACTTTGTTAGAGATGGGTTTGGTAGTGGCTACATTTATGCAAAAGGAGGTTCACAAGGTATGAGCATAAGATTTGCCAAACTGATGTCTTACAAAGTCTGGTTCTGAATCTCTTCGGTCTTTCCACAGTCACCTGGAAAGTCATTGCATTAGATACTCCTAACACATAACTTGATTTGCCCTCTTTTTTCATGATCTTATATCTTCAACTCCTGACCTGTGAAAATGACTGTTCTTTGTCAACTCTGCCTTATCACTTCCCTTGTCTGTAGGCTGTATCTTTGTATCACTTGGGGCTGACCATGCTGAATTCTCTTTTTTCCAAGACTATAATTTTGTGCTGTTTCTTTCTGGAAAAAAAAAAAAAACAACAACCACCTAGCAGCTTTTTATAATTTTAATTCCCTTCCACCTGTTTTCTATATTTGCCAAAAGCCCTCTCCATTCCATTCTCAAAGCACTTTAGGACATACTGAGATTCAAAGTAGAGCTGTTAAGGCCTTACTCAGCATGGCCTGCATCTTGCACGAATAACTGTTATGTTTTTGAAGATGCTACTACTGTTTTAACAGAGCATTAAATCTCATCGTGAATTTATTGCATTGGAATACTGTGTGGTTCCTGGAGGATGCAGCAAATTGCATGGTCCTGCATCGTTCAGCCTGGAAAAGGAGGCCTGATACAAGAGATGGAGATGGGGGAAATGACAACTTGGTGGGCTCTGTGGGCAGCTCCAACGACCAGGCAGGGAGAAGAGGAGCTAGGTGTGTCTGCCACCTTCTTTTTGCTCTGCTCTCACAGAGCTATCCAGAAGGAAACACCTTTGAGTCTTTCCTAGCTTGTCAGTCAACCTGGAAGGACCATTAGCTAGTCTGCATGACAACCCAAACATGAAACATTGCCCATTCACCTTTCTTCCTTACCTTTTTCCCTGAGAGTCTGCCCTGACAGCGTACAGTGACCAGGCTGAGGGAAGACAAAGGTTGTGCAAACACCAGCCCCTCTGCTGCGTTGTGGTGCCTTCACAGCTGTACGGCATATGCCACCCAAAGACCTCACAGCTTCCATACCCTACCAGCTGGTTACTCTGTTTCTCACCCTTAGCATCTTCACTGCGTTGCACAAAGGATGGCACTGGATAAGGGCAGCAGAATATGTGCTGCATCGCTTAAAACGGAGGCAGCGTCTTCGGCCCCCAGAGCCACCCATTCCTCGGAAGGGCTGCAATTCCAGCCTGCTGTGCAGTGAGTGCCACAGTTGTGCTCTGTTCCCCCATTTCTCATCCCACCCAAGTCACTCCCACTCCACACGTCATCACCCAAAGGCTGCACCCGCCAGCTGCGGCTCCACTTTTTTTCCCCCCGCCAGCCTTTACCTGGAGGGCCTGTTTCTTCCCAGGGCAGGTCTGACACATTTGACTCGCCTGACGGCTGGATCCTTTCACAGCTTTCTGAAAAGGCTCCCACTGAATGATTTATATGATTACATGGCAAAGGAGAACCACGGCCGCCCAACGCAATGGATGCGAGCCCCGGCCTCGCACCACGTTCACACGGCAAGCTTCCTTAAGAATAGACCTTTGGTCCCGACGTTGAACTACTGGAAGTCTAAGTACAGGCTGGAAGCGTGAGATTATTGAGGAAATTAGTCAAAAATAAAATTTAGATCTATGACTAAATTAATCCCCAGATTAACGCTATCAAAGCAAATGGTGTTTATAGGAAGTCTTGTTTTCTTTATATTCTTGCAAGAGAAAATCAAAAGAATGCTAAAGGCAAATTTCATCTAGCAGAACTGGAAAAGAGAGCGTGGGGACAAAGCTATAATTACTGGTATTTCCTATCTGTTGAAACCTGTGGGTGGAAAGAGAGGCAGTGAATAGAGTATATTCAATGGCATTAAAATCGTTTTCTTTTTCTGGACTTTAGCTCAACGCTGCAAATTAGCAGGGAGAAAATAAGCCTCAGAGTGAACAGGCAGAGAAGCCAACTTCTTCATGTTACTCTTTGCTGTTAGGAAAAAAAAAAAAGGCATTTTTTTCCTTCAAGTGTTCAAATTCCTGGCAACCCAAACTACAGCTGCATGCTGACAAGACGAGAACATACAGCAGATCTCAAGTGGTTCAGTGTTCGTGTGTCCACACATACACTATTATCCTGGTTTCCTTTCTAAACATGTTATTTTAATGGCGAGAGGACAGGCATGCTGTTTCATTAACTCCTGCCTTCTAAAAAGGACGTCCTGACCCAGATCGATTGTGCTCCAACTTAGGCACCTGCGGAGGATACCTGACTTCAGAGCATCCTGCGTACAGTCAGTGGAAGGGATAAGACCCTCCCGGTCATGATTCGGACCACCAGAGATCAGAATTGCCACTGCTAGGCACCCATCTTTTTCTGCAAACTATTGCAGGTACTCAGGATGACTGTGCTCCTCAGTCAGCCATTTCACAGAACTAGGAAGGATGATCCCAGACCTTAGCGTATCTCTACTTATCACTGGCGTTCCACATGCCCGTAGAAAAATAGGCACAATTAAAATGTGGAGGTTTTACAGTGAAAAAAAAAGTATCTTGCACTAACCTATGGTTTTAGATCACTGCATAGACATAAATTATTCTGAAAAAGTCCTTCATTAAATGTTTACCTAGTTCCTAGTTTCTTTTCACAGCAGCTAATAAATGGAATAGTTTGAAGCTGTGTTTTCTGTAAAGGTTTCAAAGTATAAGTGAAAATGGCTGAGATGGAGCTAAGATTAAAAGTTGTTTATTAATAATAATAATTATGATGTTGTTGAGGTAATAAAGAGTTGATTGATTGCTCTGTAAACAAGAAATTCAATTTGAAGCATCTACCATTGAGTATCTGGCAGTTCCATTATTCTCCAAATTCACCTAAAATACTGCAAGCTACAGTACGAAATCCTACTTCGAATAAAACAACAGTTTTAACTATTAGGGTTTTGATGTCTTTAATACAACAGTATTCTTATGTGCAACAGTATTGATTTGAATTAGATTACTGTTTAAGGTGTGTTTTTGTCTTAGCTGTTCTAGAATGTGATTTAGTATTTAATTAGTACTGCTTCAGTCAAGCTAGATATGTCGCTGGAGCAACATTTTTCCTAAAAATTTTTGTGAATGGGTTGTGTTTTCACTTTACTTACTGGAGTCCTCTATTTAATGATTATCAAGCCTTAAATGAAAACCAGAAAGCAATAAACGGCTTGTTCTCCTCTGCATTTCCCTCCCTACGCATGCACAGCCACACATGCCACTGTCGTTCTCATCCCGTTCCTGGTTAGCCTCGCTCGCTGTCAAATCTAAGACCAGCCCATGATCCTGTATCGATCGCGGCAGGACATTAAAAGGGTGCGCAGCGCTGCACGGAGACACCCTACGCAGCACTGGGGCCCGGCCTTCAAGTCTGAATTCTTCAGGGAAGGGGTGGCATCTTTGTAATTGTTGGCAGTTTTTTCTAGAATGTGTCAAAGTACTGTGAGAGTTACAAACAAGATTTCTTTTTTTTGTCTACTGAACTTTGGCATGTCTTGATGCACAGTTTTACCTTCAAAATCCTACCTCAGCAACACATGTGTGGATAAAAGCATCCAAAGGAACACGTCAGGTTTGGCCCTATTTAAAACGCGTGTCTTCTGTTTAAGATTTAACTACGATGCATAACTAATTATTTTAAACTCCTCACCATGGTACCGACACAAAATCCCTAGAAATACAAAGTGACTTCTGAAACCTGCCCTGGGTCTCAGATCGCAGCTGCTGAGACACACTGGCTAGTTCTGCATCTGCTCAGCGAAATTTCCTATATGTAGTGCTCAGATGGGCTTTACCTCAGCTCCAGAGCAGATTTGGGTGATATTATCGCGCGGGCCACTTGTTTTGTCTGCTTGCATCCCAGCCCCTGGCACTAAGCACAGGCCCAGCCTATCTTTAGCACCAGACACCTGACAGAGGGGTGCAGCAGCACAACCTCAACACACTCCCAAGTCAAGAAAACTTCCCTCCACACCCCCTCAACCACCTATTGCTGTTTCCTGACGGAGATAACGCTTCTGGCTTCGCCGTCCCTCCGCAGGCAGTTTCACGCCGACCCTGTGGCACAGCCTTGGCACTGGAGGGTGATGCTGGATGTGGGGGGCAGAGCTGCCCTCCGTGTTTGCCAGCTGGGGAGGCCGAAACAGGCAGGCTGCACCCAGGGCTTCTCTTTTCTCTCTCTTGCTGCCTCCTCTGTGGAGCACTCAGCACCCACCGCTTTTCTTTAAATGCATTTGCCCCGTCGGGGTTAGTTTGTCTCCTAAAACCTCTTCGGGATTCCTGTGGGAGCTGGTGTTTCTTGGCAAAGGGCTGTGTTTTTAAAGAAAAAGACAAGCGAACTGCGATTTCCAGAGGTCCTCTCAGGAAGTTTATATTCTCTCTTTTCCAGGGAGCGTTTACTTTCCACGGGAGCATGATCGACATGCCATTACTGAAGCAGGCACAGAACATTGTTACGCTTGCCACAGCCATCAAGAAAAAATGAGCTGGTAAATGAAGCTCTCACCATGGGGCCCCCGTAGCTGTTTTAAAAGATGACTGTAATACTTGGGAGGGGGGGGTTGGAAATTAAAGACGTCAAGCTTAAGCAGAAATTCATTTCCATTTTGTAGATCTGTCATAATTTGCTTGCCAGAATTGCTAATTACTAAAACTGTTCCCGGCTCAAACCGCTGCTTGCTCCTGCACAGCCCGTGTGCTGCTCACAGTTACATCACTGACTGTGTGACATCATCACGATTGCTATGAATGCAGGACTATGACTTCACTAAAGGAGAAAGGCCAAACGTAAGCTGTGAGCTCTGCTAAAGGAGCAGATGAAAACCGGATCAGTTGCTTCTATTTGTATCTACGCTTCTTCCCACTCCGGTGCGGAAGTCCCATTGGAAAGGGCAAAGCCTCGAATAATTCCGTACCAGTTGAAACAATTGCAATGAAAATCATCACCCTGTGCGGGCTTCGCATTCCTCCCCCTCCTTCTGTAAACGTGCAACAATTATTAAAAATATTGCTCCGACAACGCGGGGCTCTTGACTTTTTTCTCCTTTTTTAAGCAGTCGCTATTCAGAACGTTTCCTCCTGGAAACGTCCAGCCTGGGAAGGGTTGGACGGCAATAAACTTGTAGTTTTTGGAGACACAATGCAGCAGAACTTGTGCATATGGTCTCAAGTCAGATTTACATCACATTAGGGATACGGCTACAGGTCATGTGGGCCGTGTGGTTAACGGGCTTAGTAAAGCTGTTTTGAAGAGGTTAACCCAGCTTGTAGTAAGGGTAAATAAACATAACAACCAGGCATTGTCCTCTATTCAGCATGTACTCGTATATGGAGGGCTAAAGGGTATTGAAGCTGCAGAGGATCAACTTGTGGTTGCCAGAGGACTCCAATGAAGTTTGAAACACCAACAATCAGAGATTTTGTTTCTGTTCCTCATTAAATCATGAGCTTTTGTGCTCAGACTATGAACGACTGTTCTTTAAGAAATTAACAGAATGGGAAGTTTTAAACTATGCACCAACCTTTTCATGACCTACACAGCAGCAACGCTGCTGCACTTAGACAAACACCGCGGGGAAGGCTGTTCTGTTTATTTAAATTTGTAAATAGAAAACAGTTGTTTTTTAGTTTCATTTTTCACCGCCTCCATGGCCATTTTACGTATGGAGTCACAGTGCCTTATTCCTCCCATCTGCTCGCTTAGTATGTTTCCCCTCCGTCTCCGAGCAGCGATTTTAAACATTTTGGGTTATTTTTGGTTTAATTAAGGGGAGAAGAAGGGAGGGGGAAGACAAA